CGCCCTCCCTTGCCCTGGAGTGCCGTTAGGGGACAGGCAGTGGGGCGATGCAGGCACGTCTGTGGCTGCCCGATCTCAAGCCTCTTTTCTCTTGCTTTGCAGGAGGAGGTGGAACGTGAGATCATCAAGCAAGAGGAGAATGTGGACCCTGACTACTGGGAGAAGCTGCTGCGGCACCACTATGAGCAGCAGCAGGAAGATCTGGCCAGGAACTTGGGGAAAGGGAAGAGAATCCGCAAGCAGGTCAACTACAACGATGCCTCGCAGGAGGACCAAGGTACGGCTGCGGCTGCCCAGCTCCTGGCCGGGCTTGGGGCGGGCAGCAGGCTCTGCGGGCTGGCTCTGAAAGGCTGCACAAACAGGTTCCCTGATGGACGCGCGGGCCACGGCGTGCTTTGCTTGGCATTCCTCTGCAGTTTGGTAGACTGCATGGCTCTGTGCTTCCCACATTCCTAAGCTTTCCAGGATAGAAATTCTTCAAAGATTTTTTTTTTTTTTTTTTTTTTTTGGTCTGTAAACTCTGTTTTTGCTGGAAGAATTTAGGAAAACGTGTCTGTGGGCAAAGTATTTCAAATTGTTTTTTTTCTGTATAGGAGAATACTGATTTTGGAAAACCTGAGAATGTGATTTCCTGTTGTTGTGTCCCTCTCTTGCCGCCCAGCGGTGGATGCCCGTTGCAGCTGCAGGCAGGCTCTCGCCTGTCCTGCGCGTCCCTCCTGGGCAGGGTCCCACTGCTTGGGCACTCTTCTAACCTGGCCTCCCTTGCGGTCTGCAGAGTGGCAGGACGAGCTCTCTGACAACCAGTCGGAGTACTCCATTGGCTCTGAGGATGAGGATGAAGACTTTGAAGAGAGGCCAGAAGGTCAGAGTGAGTTAATGCGTTTGATACTCCACGGGATTTTGCTCTGCGGGAAGGCCCTGGCACTCAGGTGCAGCAGAAACCCTGGGTTGGAGGGACTGGTGTGCTTCTGGGCCTCCGTTCAGGGGGAGGTGTCCCCGCTGGCCTGCCAGGTGAGGAGATTCCTGGGGCAGGGACAGCAACCGGCTGCCTCCTTCACTGGCCACTGCAGGACCTTGTTCTGGTCCTCGTGGTGGAAGGATAGGGACTGCAGGAGGAACAGGTACGGTACCCCCTTGCCTGGCAAGGGCAGAAGAGTGCCCCGGCTGGGGGAGGCCAGTGGGATGGGTGGAAGGGACTCTGCAGCCTGGGCTGCTGCTCTGCCCGCGTTCTGCTCCCGTCGGGAGGGAGTGCGGGAAGCTTGGAGCATGCGAGCACTTTGGCTGTCCTTCCTCGCTGCCTGGGCCCACCCATCACTGAGGCTACTTGGCTCTAGGTGGCAGAAGACAATCCCGGAGACAGCTGAAGAGTGACCGGGACAAGCCTCTCCCTCCTTTGCTGGCAAGAGTTGGGGGGAATATCGAGGTGAGTGTCAGCCCCCGCCAGAGCAAGTTCGACGCGGTTGTGCCAGGGCTGCCCTGGGCTCGCGGGCTGGCCTCCTCCGTGCCGAGTCGCCAGCACATTAGTCCTGGTCCAGCATGCCTGTAACAGCTGCGAGGCTCCGAGGTGCCACACGCTTCCGAGGCCACGTTGTGATCCCAGCAACACCTCTGCTCCTTGCAGGTTCTCGGCTTCAACGCCCGCCAGCGCAAGGCTTTCCTGAACGCTATCATGCGCTGGGGCATGCCACCCCAGGACGCCTTCAACTCTCACTGGCTGGTCCGGGATCTGCGAGGGAAGAGTGAGAAGGAGTTCAGGTACAGGGGGGTCCCAGGAAGGCAGGGCGAGGTCTGTCCTAGGCTCTGCTTGATCATGGCGAGCACTTGGCTCACACGTTCACGACAAACTGATCACCCCATTGATCTGCCCTTGCACCACCTCTGGCCGTGCTCCCGAGGGCAAGGCAGAGGCTGTGCTGCAATGAAGGCAGCTGGGCAGCAGCAGCCCAGGTGCCTGCACACTCCCACTGAGGTTTCTTTTTGGGAAGGCAACGCCTGTTTCATTTGAGAGGGCGGCTGCTGTTCTCTTTATGATAGGCTAAATCTTAGCCTGGGCGTGAGGCTCTGCCCTCACCCACGGGTGAAAGCAGACGGTGTGGGTGCTTGGCTCAGCGGGGAGGCCGTGGGCCACGCTGGACCGAGGTCTGGCTTTCCTTCCGCAGGGCGTACGTCTCTCTCTTCATGAGACATTTGTGTGAACCTGGGGCAGATGGTGCCGAAACCTTTGCGGACGGCGTTCCCCGGGAAGGGCTGTCACGGCAGCATGTGCTGACTCGCATAGGAGTCATGTCACTAGTAAGGAAGAAGGTGGGTGAGTAAAATTTTAAATGTGCCATTTCAGGTATGGGCTGGAGGCTTGCGGATTTCATTGGCTGCTGCACGCCTCTCGCCAGGGATCCCCTGTGGGCCTCCCAGGCTCGGTGCAGATCCGTTTTTGTCCAGGCTGGAAATGTCTCTGCTGTGTTTGACTTGATGGTGTGCATCTGCCTCAGGTCCAGGAGTTTGAGCATGTCAATGGGAAGTACAGCACCCCGGATCTGATTCTCGAGGGCCCGGAGAGCAAGAAGTCCAGCGAGATTGTGTCTTCAGATCCCAACACCCCCGTCCCGGCCAGCCCAGCACATATGCACATGGGACCTGGGGCCCTTGCAGGTAGGTGCGCCTGCAGGCTTCCCGGGGATGGTGGCTTTGGTCTGCCTTGGAAGGGAGGTGGGCCAAGACACCAGAAGGTCTTGTAGGCGTCTGCCTACCCTGGCAGTGTGTGCAGCCCTCTGGGGCCCCGTTCGAAAGCTTCCTTGCTTTGCTGTTGCTACAGACAAAACAGAACTTGGGTTCCAGGAGGAGAAGGACCAAGTGGAGCAGAAGGCCAGGAAGGTGTCTGACAGCCAGGTAGGGTGGCTTCTTTCAGCATCTTCCTCTGGGAAGCCTTCTTGTGGCCTGCCCAGAAACTCGGAGTGCTCCCCACGGAAAGGGCAACGCTGGGCTGAACTGGGTGTGGGCACTTTATGTTAAGGTGCCTGTGAGCGCTGAGAAGGCGGAAGGCGAAGAGCACCCAGAAAGCTGCGACAGCAAAGAGAGGCTGAGGGAAGAGAAGCAAGAGGAGAGTGAAAAGGCTGAGCCTTCTCCCGAGCCTCTGGTGAAAGGTGAGTACCTGTGGCTCGGGTGCACACGATCCCCGTGGCTGGGACTTCTGTGGGGCTGTGGCACTCAGCACCGACACCGATTTGTGCTGGAGTTCTGCAGCTGAAGTTGTGTGGAGACCAGGGCGTGCACCCTAACAGCCCCAGATGCGCTGGTGCTCCTGGCGGACGGGCTTTCCCGCTGGCGGGAGGCTCCTGCACTTGCGCCTTGCTTGGGTCTTCCTCTTCTCCATATCACGTATCATAGAATGCAGAGGAATATTCTGTTAGGAGTTTTTTGAACACCTTGAATGTACTTACAATATGAACACTTCACTCTAAAAGGCAAAGTCTATCCAGACAATAAGTTGTTGTTCCCTGAGGAGCGTTTTGCACGTCAAGCTTTTCTCATAGTCCCGCTTCCTTCTGCAGATGAGGGGATTCAAGAGGAAGAGAAGCCTTTGGAGAAGCCAGAGTTGAACAGCAGCCCAGGGAAAGGGGAGGACAAAAAAGTCAAACTAGGTGAGGTGCGAGGAGGCTTTGGGGCGAGGAGTGGTGTGAAGGGTGTCCAAGCAAGGCAGGTGCCTGGTGCAGAGGCGAGGGAGCGTGCGCGCGGGGTGATGGCGAGGACAGCCATCGGCACCCACAGCAGTTGCCCCTTGTCTTCTGGCGATGCTCAGGAGCCACGAGCGGGAACGAGATCCCGTTATGGTGGGCACTGCCTGTGCTTGCCGTGCAAACAGTAGGACCTGCTGGAAGAGGCAGATGGTCGGCTGCTGTGGAGCAGAGACTGGGCTGGTGGCTTTTCCAACAGTGGCTTTAGCGAGGAGATCCTCTGGCAGCCAGTGGGGCAAGGATGACACCGGTCGGTCTTTTGGCAGAGTACGGTTAGATGGGCGCAATTTCTTGTGTTTGCCAAGCAGAGGATGCCAAGGTGGAGGAGAAGGAGCAAAGCGAGGCTCAGCAAAACGGTGACAAAGAGGAAGAGGAGGATGGAAAGAAGGATGACAGAAACATGAACTTCCGATTCATGTTCAACATCGCTGACGGTGGCTTTACAGGTGAGAGCAAGAGATGAGGCATTGGCCGCTCCTGCAGAGCTTCTGCGCAGGAGCTCCGAACCTGTGCAAGAAATGCAAACCATGTCAAAAGGCTGCAGGTGGGATGGTGCTTCAGCTTCGCAGCAGGGTGTCTCGGTTTTGCGCTGTGCCCACGGCCGCCCGGGAAATATCGTCACTCGCCCTGCCTGATGTGCTGTGCCGTGTCTCCGGCAGCCCCGCTGCCTGACTGGGCTGTCTCGCTTCTGCTTCCGCAGAGCTGCACACGCTGTGGCAGAACGAGGAAAGGGCTGCCATCTCCTCCGGCAAGATCTACGACATCTGGCACCGCCGACACGACTACTGGCTGTTGGCAGGAATTGTCACGTACCCTTTGACGTGGTGGGAGCGTGCCTCCCGCCATCGGGTGCTGGGGAGACGATGAGGCGAGGCGAGGGAGGCCTCTGCGGGGCACAGGAGCTGGGGTGATGGTGCGGTGGCGAGCAGGGAGGGGGTTTGGCAACACGGTGTTGCTGTGGGGCGGCGGGCATGCTGTCCACTGGCCGGTTCTTCCCTTAACGTGCCCTCCGCCCCAGTCATGGCTATGCCCGCTGGCAGGACATCCAGAACGACCCGCGCTACGTGATCCTGAACGAGCCGTTCAAGTCGGAGATACACAAGGGGAACTACCTCGAGATGAAGAACAAGTTCCTTGCGCGGCGGTTCAAGGCAAGTTCCAGATCCAGGGCTGGTGAGTCCTTACCGACAGCGGGGACCAGAGCGGTGCCCCGAAGCCGGGGGGGAGCCCACCAGTGCCTTCTGGGAGCGCAGCAGGGAGCGGTCGTGTGCTTTGCGGGGCCTTGTGGTCGCCAGAGGAGAGCAGGCACCCGGCAGCTGGGGCTCGATAGCGGGGAGCTCGCAGGCTCTGCAGCGCGGTGCACGGGACTGGGCTGGCTGCGCTGGGCTCCTTGCTGTGAGTGGGCTGAGTACTGGTTTATGCTGGTGTGGGGTCTGGTCCTGAATCCTTCCCCTCCTGTACCTCCCAGTTGCTGGAGCAGGCCCTGGTGATCGAGGAGCAGCTGCGGAGGGCTGCGTACCTCAACATGACCCAAGACCCCAGTCACCCGGCCATGGCATTGAACGCCCGTCTGGCTGAAGTGGAGTGCCTTGCCGAGAGCCACCAGCATCTCTCCAAAGAGTCCCTGGCTGGGAACAAGCCTGCCAACGCCGTCCTGCACAAGGGTGCGTGCTGGCAGAGCGGGGGGGAGCCTGCCCCAGGGGGCTGGGAAGGGTTTGCTGCCCTGACCGTGGGGAAATCCAGCCGGGAGGTTGTCCCCATCTCACGTTCCCTTGGCCAGGAGCTGCCTGCTCCTCCGCAGCTTGCTTTGCTGGCAAGGGCACTGGAAAGCGGCATGCTGCTAATGCAGCTGGCTGTGGCGGGCGTCCGCGGTGCTCTTTGCCATCGGCTCCTGGCTGCTGGAGCTCACCAGGCCCCAGGGCTGGGACGCCGGGGGTGCTCCCACCTCTGCCGGGGGTCCAGCGGGCGTCCCCCCCTCCTGAGTGCTGCCTCGCTCTGCTCGCAGTGCTGAACCAGCTCGAGGAGCTGCTGAGCGACATGAAGGCCGACGTGACGCGCCTGCCCTCCATGCTGTCCCGCATCCCGCCCGTGGCCGCCCGGCTGCAGATGTCCGAGCGGAGCATCCTCAGCCGCCTGGCCACCCGCGGCGGGGACCCTGCCGTCCAGCAGGTCAGCGGGGACGGGGACGGAGCCCCTCACTGGGGGCGGCAGCGGGGCCGGGGCTGCAGATCAGCAGCTCATCTCCTTCCTTGCCTCCCTAGGGCTCCTTCGGCTCCTCCCAGATCTACAGCAACAACTTCGGGCCGAATTTCCGAGGTCCCGGGCCGGGTGGGATTGTCAACTACAGTCAGATGCCTCTGGGACCGTACGTGACCGGTAGGTCGGGGTTTTGAGCGGACGCTCTCGGGCAGAGAAATTCAAGGGGCAGATTTGAGTGGGCCGGGAGCATCGCCAAAGGACAGTGGGCAACCAAGGTGTTTCCTCTCTCTCCTCACAGATATTTAGCCGTTCCCATGATTTTCCTCCGCAGCTCCCGTTTCCAGCTGAGGTAAGGCTGTGCTTGCTGCTCTCCGCGTTTCATTCGACGGGGTCTCATGGGAACACGCGTGCAGACACACGACGGGGCGGGGGGCCGTGCAAGGGCTCTGCTCCGTGCTGCCTCCCCGAGTACCGGTGTCTGGGTGCGGCCTCTGGCTCGAGGAACCGCAGCGGGTCCCGGCAGCAGAGGCGGGAGCAGGGGCAGGATCCTTCCCAAAGCCCTTGGGGGGGTGCCCGAGCTGGCTGCCCCTGCCCGGGGGTCGGCCTGCTCCCCCTGCCCCTCCTTTGGCGCGGGGAAGGCCCGGAGCCCGGCTGACGGGCAGCTCTCCCCTCTCCTTGCAGCAGCCCCCGGGGGCCGAAAGCCGCCCTGTCACTGGAGGAAGGGCAGGGGAAGCGCAGCGGCATTGCCTGCGTGGAAGATGAGCTGCCGCCGGCGCTGCCGGGCTCTCCCGCTCCCGCTTCAAGTGTGCTTCGACCGACGTGACCCCCCGCCGTCGCTGGAGCGGCTGGGACGGGGGTTTCATTTCCATGTACATTTTTTGCACTTTCTTATTGAAGACTTGAAGAGTTTGTCTGGGCAAGGTGGGCTAAGCTGAGAAGGGAGGTAGAGTCCCGGTGTTTATGTCTGGTTTTCTTGGCACGTGTGGGGTGCGAGGGGAGGCCGGCAGGCGCCCTGCTTCCCGGCCGGCTGCGCCAGGGCACCCGGCTGGGCCCCAGCTGGCTCCCGAGCTTCCCCGCAGGGTCCATTTCTACGTCCTCGTGGTGTTTGAGCAAGTGCATGCGTGCCGCCAGCCCCGCTGCCGGAGCCTGCCCAGCCCCGGCAGGAGCATTGGGGTGCGCCCGTGCTGTCGCGGCGAGGCTGGGGCTCCCGGCGTGCCGGGCTGGGGGCGGGTGGTGGAGGCGATGCGGGCGGGCG